CTAAAAATGGCACCTCCTAAGACTCATAGAAAACACGTTACTCTTTACAGCGGAACCCATATCACAGGAACTAAGGAACCAACCTCATGTCCATTTGCAATTCAGATCAGAGATAATGAAGAAATAGAAGGACCTGACATAAGGAACAAATATACCAAACTTCAAAATCAACTTATTCATGCGAAAACTAGAAAAGAGATGAAGCAAAAATATATTTTGAGTGATTCTACTCTTCATCTTATAAATGAAAGAAAAAGTCTAATTGCCGACAAAAACAACAAACGAAATGTGAAAAAAATAACAGAGTTAAGTAAGAAAATAAGAGAAGGCATACGCAAAGATAGGAAAACCAGAAGACTAAAAACACTAGAAAAAGACATCATTGCTTCAGGCGGAACAAAAAGAGATCTTAAAAACTTCGTGAAAACACTTCCTGGATGCCTAATCTCAAAAGCAACGAAATGAGCATCACAAACCGCAAAAGTATAATAAAAACAGCATCTGATTTTTACAAGAAGCTCTATTCCAACTCAGATATCACCGAAAGTAAAAAAAAGCGAAAAATGCGAGACGACCATGTACCCTCCAAACTTAGAACCAGAAATATTACAAAGTGAAGTCAGGAAAGCTATACTAAGCCAAAAGTCGGATAAGGCACCAGGCCCGGACAAGATCACGAACGAACTACTGAAAGGAACCCTAAACGAACTCGTGCCTGCTCTGACACAAATCTGTAACGATATCCTAATATCAGAACAGATACCTAAACAATGGGAAACCTCTCACATAATTCTTATACACAAAAAGGCTCAAAAGAAGACGTATTGAACTACAGACCAATAAGCCTGATGTCGCACATATATAAGGTCTTCTGGAACAGGCTGGATTTAGGAAAAACTTTGCAACGATAGACCATATACACACAGTTAAACAAATCATAGAAAAGCACAGTGAATATAACAAACCATTGTACATGGCCTTCATTGATTACACCATAGCTTTCGATAGTATTAAACATGAAGCGATTTGGGAAAGCTTAGAAAAACAGGGAGTATCCAGAGCTTATATAAACATCATTAAAAAATATATGCTAACTGTAAAGCAAGAATACAAATGGAAACACTTGGAGAAGTATTCAGAATTGAAAGAGGTGTTAGGCAGGGTGACCCACTGTCTGCGAAGCTATTCTCCGCTGTGCTTGAAAACGTATTCCAAAAACTGGAATGGAATGAGTATTGATTAAATATAGATGGAAGAAGACTACATCATCTCCGATTTGCAGACGACATTGTCCTGTTCGAAGAGAACCCTCACAAACTTGAACAAATGATTCAAGACCTAAATAAGGAAAATGAGAAGGTCGGGCAGGCAATGAACGCTAGCAAAACGAAGTTATTATCAAATTCAATCCCATATGAAATAAAAATCAATAACCAACCTCTCGAGTATGTAGAGGAGTACATATATTTGGGACAAATAATCTGGATGGAGAAGGTATTGGTCACTGAAGGAGATTATGAAATATACAGATTTTAGTAAAAAAATTAAAAGCAGGGTCTTTAACACCTGTATTCTCCCATGCCTTACTTATGGCTGCGAAACTTGGGCACTTTCTAAGCAGCACAGAGATATGCTCGAACATTGTCAAAGAGCCATGGAAAGGAGCATGCTAAGAATCAGAAAAATAGATAAGCAAAGAAACACATACATAAGAGCAAGAACAGGTGTGACAGATATTCTCACCAAGATAGACCAAATGAAGTGGAGATGGACAGGTCATATGCTACGGAGCCCTCAAGATAAATGGAGCAAAATAGTGACCGAATGGTACCCCAGAAACGGGAAACGAAATAGAGGTTGACAACGCAAAAGATGGGAGGACGAATTAAATTTAACAGTGGGTTATAACTGGAGAAGAGTTGCAAAAGATAGGCAACAATGGAAATCGTTAGAGGAGGCCTTTGCCAAGAGGCACACTGAACTCAGAGACATATTATAATAAAACTGAATAGGATTATTTGTTTCGGGATATAAAGGCTATATTATTATTATATTATATAATGATTCATAATGTTTAAAAAATAGTACTTAGATTTTTTACCAATACACAAGTATATTTTAAAAATTTCGGCTATCCTATATTACTCCCAAAACCCCTGAAATCGAGGTTGAATTTATAACCTCATATTTATATTTGAGTAATTTGGTGTTAATTAGTATTTGTGAAAAAATTGTTGATAGATACCAAGCGAATCCAAATTAGGGGTTGGATTTAGAATAGTTTGGCACAAATTTGGCGGAGTAAGGTGTTTTATTTGGTAGAGATTTGGTCCCCGATTATTATAATACCACTCACATTAAAAGGTAATGCACTGTTATCGAAAAAATAAATAAAAACTTTTATAACCTAAAATGCGTAAAACATGGCAAAATTGCCGTGAAAGCTGGATAACATACAGAATTTTGTGTAAGTACGACAAGGACGTAAGACTAGTGTCACATTATTCTACTGTCTATACTCTCTGTCAAGAGATATTTCACTAAAGACAACTATAATAATAGAGAAAATTTTACCGACTTAATATATGAATATTTATGGAGAAGAGAAATTATAAACAATAAAAGAGATTCTTTTGAAGAATTAATTTAAAAAAAATCAAGTTTACAGACAATAAAGAAATGATTATAATATACTGTTTTATTTCTGAATTGTTTAAAACTACCCAGAAATACTTGAACACCCAGAAATAATTTCAGTTGTAATAGGTTAGAAGCTTGTGGCGGCAGCGAAGGCAACCTGACTTTATAGATAACATATCTGATCTGATCGAATCTGTACTAAAATTAGACCAGCATGCCCTGACTCCACGTAGTCTTGTCTGCCCTACTCCTAGTGTTTTTGTAAAGCCGAAGGCGCAGAGTGAGAGCAGCCCCCGCCCGCCATAGCAAATCGCAGGCATGAGTGTCTGTGATACGCTACGCAAGGGCGAAGGGGCTGCATTACCTGCAGCGCCAAAGCCGTTGTAGAAGTAGCTTTGTGTAAAATTACCTATGTAAAAAAGTAAGGTTATGATTTTACAAAACAAAACATTACTTATAAACTATACTTTTCCACAACGAGGGAAGGTAGAGGGACTTTCCCTGATAGAGCACACTCCTGCTACCCTCTTCGCCCCTCTTGCCGGAGATGATAAATGTTACTTTCAGGTTAGGTCTATGGGATTTTCTTTTTGATTTTTGTCAAGAACGGTGTATTACCTTTTAATGGTAGTGGTGTCGGGAGTAAGGGGACGCTCCCCCCTCTTCCCACCCCTCATCCCCTGCCTCCTCCTACTGCCAAACGATTCTAAATTTCAACCCAAATTAGTTCTATTTTAATTATTTTAATACAGTATTATAATATTAAGTTTTAACAATTTTTCATGCAGTTACCACAAATGGAATGGTTTTATCAAAGTTTCACTTTCAACAGCTAATCAATTAATAAATTAAAATGATACATTTTTTAAATTTCTAAGTATTTTTTTTTTAATTCGGTCGGCTACTGTAATGTTGTAAAGTAAAGAAATGTGTGATTCAGTATAGATTAATTCAAAAGATATATATCTGACTAGCTGGCCCGGCAGACATTATTCTGCCCTTTCTGGTTGGTGGCACGATGAGTTTATTTTCACACACACACTTTTCTATAGATTTATTATACGTATAGCTAAATCCTCTTTAGGACTAATAGAACCATCAGCAGCCATAATCACAATAAACTAAAAAAAAGGAAAACATTACCCCTTTTTTACTCTTCCATAAGTGGATAAAAGTTACCTATATGTTATACACGGTCATTTACAGTCAATTCAATTACATACAAAATTTCATGAAAATCTGTCCAGTAGTTATTGTGTGAATCGTAAACAAACAATTTTTCTACAGATTTATTTTATGTATAGATAGAAGATATAGATGAGCAAATTGATGTATCCATATACCTTGAATCAAACTGTCTACATCTGTAGCAATAACATTCAGTTCCGTTCAAAATCATTCCAAAAAAATAGAAAAATTTAGATCTGAACAGGATGAAAAGATTGATTAGACAGCACATGCTTAGTGAGTTAAATGTAGTGTTTTTTAACCATTGCTATAAGGCCACAATTTCACCAGTGCAGCATGGTATTTTCAACTTATTATGTATTTCATTAATGTTCAGCACAGACATTTATGTTTTAAATGGTTTTTTATTCAATATTTCATGCATGATTCCCGTATACCTATATATAAACATTTTTTTAATTTAAATCATGATGTAAATAATAAAATGATAACAAAGAATTGTCTGCAACTAAAGGTGGCATTCCGAATAGGGATACGCGGTAAAACAGCCGATAGTTAGCACCCAGACTGTTAAAATCTTACAATAGGTACGCAAACTGTTGGTAAAGTGTTTGCGACTGAAACACTTATGTGGGTTACCAACCGGTATATGTTATGAAAATGCTAAGCCTCGTGTTGCTTGGTTCGGATAATTGGCATTTAATCATAACAGGCTGATTACATGTCAAATGTCACAGACTACACTCGTCACTAACAACAATCTCTTAGTGAAATTGTCGCTTGGCGACAGTAACATTACCGATGTATATTGTTATGTGTGGGATTTTATTCACAGTTTACGACAAGCATGGCACTACAAATACCTGTCTTGCAAGATATGGCAACATCGCTGCTTTCAAACCAGTTGTGTTGCATGTCACCAAGTGTGAATTTTGACTTTAGAAGCAAACGAAGTTACTATAATCAGATGCATATAAAATACTCTTGTGAAAGACAATATATGCGTAGATATTAATTTATGGGGATCTCTTTTATGAATACTGACATAAAGGATCTCATGATCATCACTTTCATCGAGTTCCATAGAATACAATTCATATCGGCAATTTATGCGTGGTCATAACCTCAAAGAATAGGGAATTCAATTGTATTAAACAAATAATATACATTACCTCCACACACATATATCATAGGAACTTTAGTGATAGATTGTTCTTTGGTTCCTACATCAGCCATCTTAAAAAAATATTTAAAAACGTTAGCAAATCTCTACACTTTTAATAAAGTAGATGAAACAAAAAGCAAAAACTAATAACATGAAGATACTTTAAAGTTTTTTGTAGTTTGTTTGAGTTTGCCTTTGTCTTGCAATAGTCCACAGAGGTCTTGCCTTACAATTTTGAAAGTTTGGTTATGTTGTTGTTGAATGTTGATAGTTGATACTTGATACGATATAATATAGGGATGATCAATGACCATCGATGTCGAAAATGAAAACATCGATGTTAATAAACCCATAATCGATTATTGGGTACTTGCGAACACTGCGAATCCGCGAAATCAATATCAACTAAATCTTGCATCTCCTCTAAAATATTAAAAATTTTGAATAATTCAGAATGCTTGAACGCATCGATAACGTAAGAATATATCATTATGGTGTATCAAATTTAACTGTCAAGTATCAACTGTAATGTCGCAGTTGTCATTGATTTCGTTTTATTACTGGTGTCGTTGTTGGTTGTGTGTTTCTTTGTCGGTTGTTTTAAAAAATGGTGGTTGATCTTAAACACGATCCAATATACCTTTAGAACAATGTTATTGCTTCTACTTATCTAAAATTAGAAACAAAAAAACTTGCGGTGAGATATTTGACCACATCGCTCTCGCCATCTGAGCGGTTATCTACCGACTTCAAAAAGGAGGAGGTACTCAATTCAACTGTGTTTTTTTTAATGTGTGTTACCTCATAACTTTTTTTGGATGAACCGATTTCGATGATACTTTTTTGTTATTTGAAAACTGGTGCTTCGCCATACGCATGGGACCACCATATAAATTTGACCCATATTAGTCTGACCAATAGTTTTTGAGTTATCTTTAATAATTTATATTGAGGTGAGTTGTACACAATATTTATTTTTAAATTATTTTCAATAGCTGGCTGCTATCTTTCTCCAATCAATCCGCAAAAATATTGTACTACATAACAAATGAACTAGATATTTGTGAACTTCTTCCAATTTCTTTGTACTGTTTTACATTTTATTGTTTATTAATTTCTTTTATTTCATTAATTGTAAACCGTAAACAACATGAGAATTTTTTTATTCATCTAATAATACTCTATTAAATACACGTGCAAAAAACATCGATAATGGCCAACATCGACGTTTTGAGTAGGATAAACATCGAACATCGATGTTGAGCTATCGATGTCATCATCGATGTTTTTACAACATCGATCAGTAGGCAAAGGTCTTGGCCTTACAGTCTAGTCTGATCTATATTTTGTTGATAAAACTCTTCACAATATGAAGTAAACAACTTAGGCGTCTTGAGATACCGTCGTCTTCAACTGTCCACTGTATTAATCTGTGAAGATAACTAGGATATTGTGAAGAGTTTAGAAGAAAAACACATCACCAGATTGGGATATTGTTATAAAGATCTTTACCTGCCCTAATGAGTGCTATAAGTTTTCCGCTCACTAGATGTCACTAGTTGGGACTGTAGTGACTAGTGAACCAGTATTTCCTATATAGGACAGTTACTATACTATTTGACCAGTATATTGTTGGTATATGGGTCAATGGTAGTGAAGTGATTTTAGCACGGTATGGTAAAAATTTAGAATCGTTTGGCAAGAGGAGGGAGAAAGAGTGAGTAGAGAAGGAAGTATCCCCTACACCCCGACATCACTCCCATGAAAAAGCAATACAATACAAATAGATCCATTTTACTGGAGAAGAGGCATTCCATCTTGGTCCTCAAGGGTGACGACGCATCTGCATTTTGATTCTTTAATGAGGATAAATGTAGATATCTATGGGTCACAGCAACCACTTACCATCAGGTGGACTGTGTGCTCGTTTGTCACCCTATCCTATAAAAAAATTACACCGTTCTTGGGAAAACTTAAAAAGAAAATCCCATAGACCTAACCTCAAAATGATAACATTTTTCTCTCTTCGGCAGGTAGTTGGAGAGGGGGAGCATGGGCATCCTCTAAAAAAATGTAAAGATTTCCGGGTGCACATGTATTTCTGGGCGGTAAAAATAATAACCACAAAGACTGTGGAAGGAGTTGCACTGCGTTCCACTCCCGCTACAGCCTTCTAACCTAAATCAACTAAAATAATTTCTGGGTGCACATGTATTTCTGGGTGGTAAAAAAAATAACCACGAAGGCTGTGGCGGGAGCTGCACTGTGCTTTGCTCCCGACACAGCCTTTAACCTAACTCAACTGAAAGGATTTTTGGGTGCTCAATTATTTCTGGACGGTAAAAAACAATTCCTTCTGACCTAACTCAACTGAAACCTGAACTGAACCACGAAGGCTGTGGCGGGAGCGAAGCGTAGCGCAGCCTTCTGACCTAACTCAATTCAACTCAAAGGATTTCTGGGTGTAAAGTATGTGTAGGCGCGTCAATAAAACACCGGTTGGATCGAGAGTGAGCGAGAGGTTGCGTCACTCTAGTGGATCGTCATATCGATGGTGGCGAGTTGGAGTTTAGGGTTAATCGGGTATATCGAGAAACCTCCCTACTCGTTTGTGCAGTATAAAGTTCAGTGTAGGTGCCGAGCGAAAGAGATTCCTCTTGAGTCATTTTACGAGTGAAGTCATTCTACGCGTGCTAAGATAGAATCGTAGTTTGATTGATGAGAGCATAGACCACCGAAAAATGAAAATACCATAGAAGTATAATAATGTGACACTAGTCTTTGTCATGGTCTTACGTCCTTGTCACACTTGCACAAAGTTATGTACGCTATCCAGCTTTTACAGTAATATTGCATTCGTTTTTCCATGTTTTACCCATTTTTAGGTTATAATAGTTTTTTTTTTCTTGAAAGCAGTGCATTTACCTCCTAATGCGAGTAATATTGTTAGAATGGATCAAACCTCTACCAATTACAACACCTTACTCCACCAAATACCTACCAAACGATTCTAAATCCAACCCATTGAATTTCATGAAGAATGATGATACCGTGGTATCATTATTCTTAGACCTACATAAAAGATCTACCTAATATATCCTACCAAACATGCTTTGACACGACATACCTACTCATAGCTATTAATTCCTGATAAGACTCGTATTCCGTAAATTCATTTATTCACGAGATTCACCCGAGGGAGGGGCTGCAGCCTTCTCTTAGTATTAAACAAGCATATGCGAAACGAAAGCAATCCCAAGGAAGGTTAATCTCATATAGGCAGCCATTCGTTGACAACACGCTGCACTGAACCCTGGTTAAGGGCAGGAGCAGGAGAATAATGATAACGACGCATGCCATCTGATTGACGTCCAGCACGCATGTAAGAGAACGATACGAATGAATAACGGCTCCGTGGCGCAGTGGCTTAGCAATGAGTTGCTGCGCTGGGGGCCGCGGGTTCGAATACCGCACGGAACAAGTATTTTTATGGCCTGCAAATAATTGTTCCGGGTCTGGATGTTTGTCCTTGTGCAATTTGTGTCTGTAAACTGCTTCCACGATACAGGAGAAAATCCTAGTTTGGGGGTAACGTTTTTAAAAGAAATAAAAAATAAGTATAATTATATGTTCATCATCATCATCAACGTGAGTTCTATGTTCAGCAGTGGACTTGTGAAGGGCTGTAATGATGATGATAATTATGATGATGTTGTTTAATTACAATCACAACCAAGATTTAAATTTATTTTCATTTCGGTAGATAAAAAGTCACACTTTCTTTTACGTGGTAGAGCCATGTTGCGGCTATATTGTGGTTGCAGCAGGAATGGGTCGGTTCGACCGGGTTAGGACCACGCTCTCACAGAATACCAGCGTAAAATAGCAGCGTAATGCTGCTGTATTTCGTATGGTGAGTGAGATCCTTTTTATTGTAAACGAGGCATTCCATCTCAGTCCTCAGCATTTTGATTCTTAATTGAGGATAAATGTAGATGCCTATGGGCCACAGCATCCACTTACCATCAGGTGGACAGTGTGCTCGTTTGTCACGCTTATTCTATAAAAAAAAAATTAAGCGTTTTATCTCTGTTCCTGAAATAATTCACATCGCACGCGTCCTGTACCTATATTCATATTTTTTGCGTTAATTATGACAGTTTTTACATAGAAGTCTGAAGTAAAATTATCCACCTACAAAATGTACATTACTTCTGATTTGGGGAAAGGCTAACATACGTTTGTCTTGCCTGCGACAAACTGATAGTCTTATCTATATAGGATAGATAGGTTATGTTTTTGTTTTGTTAAATCTATACATACATATAATAAAACTGTAAATAGCAGACGTCTGTACATTTTATATTTTTGTAATAAAAGTGATTGAGGGGTACTAAAAATAAGTAATTAAATACATTTCTACCATTTTTAGAATTTTCTGTCTGTCTGTCTGTCTGTCTGTCTGTCTGTTTGTTTGTTAACGTATCACGTATAATGTACTAATTTATATCATAAGAATTGTTAAGAAAATTATAAAGTGTATCTTCGGGTTGCATTTAGTCTTTATTTGATTAAAATCAGTTCATTCCATCAAAAGTTATGATAAATATTCTCAAGTATGGGTAGGGAAGTATAGGTACGAATTTGCTCAACGGTGGCTTTGTTTGAGTCATCAAGTGCATTTTAAACTAATATCATATCATAAATCATAGTTAAATTATGTAAAATAATGATATAATTATGTATATCTAAAACGCAGTAAACAAAAGTATTAAAGAACGTATTAAATATACAAAAATATATTAACCTTATTAACTAAATCTGAAGCACAATAGTTAACCCATTTCTTCGATAGATGGTGGTGTTGTGAAAATGTAATGCAATTGCAATGTGTTTTTTTCCTGTAGATGAGTTTTCATATTTACTGCTAATCTTTATTATATTACTCGCTGCCCTACTGCGTGTTGACAAACTCAATTTATTCTTTACCGCCGAGTACTCTATGTGGTAAATCAAATTTTAAAAGAGCTATTAACAATTGCGTTGGTTTTGGCGAGAGTCAAACTTTATTTTTTGCTTAATGTGCAGGCACTGATTTATAAGTTCTCTTGCGTTTTATATAATGTATCAATCGCGTCAATTAATCTCTTTTATTTTTAGAATTGATGTTAGCAGCGCCATCTCTCTTTAAATATATACATATAATAAAAATGATGATAACATGTTGTCTCTTTCTGTACATTGTATATATATTTTGGTGGCTAAAATCATTATGGGGAACTGAAAATAATTAAATAAGAACATTTTATAATTTTTAGAATTGTCTGTCTGTCTATTTGTCTGTTATTATATGAACGCATCACGTCTAAAGTAAACATCTTTTATTTTCAAAGAAATCGTTAAGAAAATCATAAAGCGTATCTTCGAGTTACATTTAATCTTTGTTTTATTAAAATTGGTTAATTCTATCGAAAGTAATGATTATTATTTTGAAATGTAGGTTCGAATTTGTTCAATGGCGCCATAATATCTCAGAAATAGTAATAAAAAGATTTGTGTGTAAAAAAACGTTCCATAGTAATTATTATCCATAATACTTAAAACATAAAAAGAGATTTAAAAAGGATGTTTTCTCACACAAAGGACGTAATAGATGGAGTTGTACAAATTACAAACTTTTCTGAATTGCTGTGTTGAGATTTTTCGCCGATGAATCGTTTGAGACTTACTGAAGAAATTTGTATCTATCGAAGCCATACGGAACCCGACCAAAAATAAAAATTTTGCAACGAAATGTTGTGATATTGTATTTATAATATACGCAAAATCAGTACTGCCATTTTAGCGCTTTGGGAACTAGATTTAGCGCTTTTTTGGAATGTATAGCGCGCATTTCGAAATTTTAGCACCTAGCTTAATCCAGCGTTTTTTGGTGTATTTAGCACACATTTCAATATTTTAGCGACTAGCGGGTTATTAACTCTTTTATAGCAGCACTGTTAGTCCACATTACCGATAATAATAATAATGACCTTTATTATTTTTTCCCACAAATAGTACATTGCAATTTATCTTTTTCAAACATATTTTTTCCACAAAACAAAGAGCATGGGAGACGAGTCCAAACTAGGATACCCTGTGCTATGGATCTCCTGGCTTCCCCTTTAGGATGATCAACTTTATTTTTTTACCGACGACTATAAGCGGGGAAATCCCCTTTATTAAAGTTTTCGTTCATGATTTTGGCAACGCATTTATTTTGCTTTATTCAGTTTCAGTCAGTTGCTTAGAGCACAGCTAAGTTAAAAGTTACTTAGAAGTTATAACACAAAGAAACTGTGTAGCAACCGCAATCAGATGCTGACATCTGAAACTAAGTTGCGAAATACATTGCACTTTAAAACAATGACATTTTTATTGTTCGTACAGTACTAACTACTGTTGACAGCAATTGCCATAAATATAAGTCGATGTCCTGCGAAGTATTGATACATCAAAAAAATATTGCCAGAAAAAAAACTTAATGTTGTTTTCTTTATTATGATTATATAAAAAAACACAAACTTTGTTTGTAGTTAATTTAGCGCGAAATCTAGGGCTTTTTTAAAGCGCTGTTTTCATGAAATCTAGCGCTTTTTGTGTTGTCCTAGAGCTGAATGAGTTTTTTTTTTATCTGGCAGCACTGCCCAAAAACCCTCTATTAAGAAGTAACTTTCCTTTCAGTTTTAAGCGCGTTCAGTTCCCAGTTACAGTGAGCGTGTGTTATGCGATGACCGTAAATAAAGCGCAAGGTCAAACTTTACGCGTTGTAGGAGTGTACCTCAGTACTGACTGTTTTGCACATGGCCAACTCTATGTTGCTTTTTCCCGCGTTAGTAGCCCCCGTAACCTTTTTGTGTACACCCCGGCTAAGCCTACTTCTAACGTCGTTTACACAGAAGCTCTATCATAAACGACTTAGAACTTTGATGATAATGATTTATTTAGTTACCACTTATTGATACAGTAATGAAATAAATCGTTTAATATTCTCTTACCTAAACGACAAATTCTTTATGTAAAAACTGTATACGCGAGCTACGCCGCGGGCACAGCTAGTATCTAATAAAAACGTTTGTTTTGTGTAAATTGATATAGCTACCTAAAAGCCAATATTCGTAGGATGCTATTTACGTGAGAACACTTCGAATTTTCACCAAAAATATTTAAATATCCGTTAACGCGGCAACTTTGATAAATTATGTTCACTTCTAAGATTTTTAAATGACGTTTTTCGTTCATATTTACTTGTAGTACGTAGCAACATCTGTGTTTTGAACCAGAAACTTTTATTTATGAACTGTTTTACCGGCTAAAAGAATTTCTTAAGGAAGCTATACTTATCGAGATGCTAAATAGTGATAGTCTTACCCCAACTCACTCTATATAGAGCTTGAAACAAATGAAATGAATAAAATTTCAGATTTCATCTGAAGGCACACACAGCATCTGTTACATAAACGTCGTATATCCAATCCAAATACATTTCTTCGCAGGAGTCCTCAGAATTTGGTGTCGTCGCTCGGTGGCTGTACTCAAGCAATATACCTAGATAATACTAATACGACCAACAGATCATTTGATTTTTTTTTTAGACCTGAAGTAAAAAACAAACTTGTTATACGCAATAGAACCATGCTGCTGCGATTCTTATGGTGAGCGTAGAGAACCGGAGACCTTTTATACTGGCAACGAAGCATTCCATCTTAGTTCACATCATCCACTTACCATCAGGTCGAATGTGTGCTCGTTTGTGCCCCTTTTCTACCGACTTCAAAAAGGAGCCGGTACTCAATTCGACCGTATGTTTTTTTATGTGTGTTACCTCATAACTTTTTACTGGGTAAACCGATTTCGATGATTCTTTTTTTTATTTGAAAGCTGGTGCTTCACATGTGGTCCCATATAAATTTGATCAAGGTCTGATCAATAGTTTTTGAGTTATTCTTAATAATTTATATTAAAGTCGGTTGTACAAAATTTTAAATTATTCTATAAAAAAATACTTGCAGTTCCCATGATGGTAAGTTTATACTTTGGACACCTAGAATCAACTTCATACTAAGAAAGCTACGATGAGATGTGTTGTCACTCCTGAGGTCGAAAATAGAATGCCTTACAGCGTGTAATTATACTGGCTCTCTATACATAACCTTCAGATCGGAACACCTACCTAACTAACTACACTGACTCCTTGGCAAAAAGGAGATCTCCCACCTATAAAAATAATTACTATACTGTACATAATACGACAGTTTTATTTGTAACTAGCGACCCGCCCCGGCTTCACCTGAATAGGACCTATTAGATAATGTGGCATTATTTAGATTTAAGATAACCAAAGACCACTTATTTAACAAATATTTCATTGTTTCGAAAAAAATCTTCAGGTTCAAATATAACCTAAATCCCTCCTGGCATTTACTTATTTATTTATTTATTTGCTTTTTAGTATGTATGTTACAAAAGATATCGTTAAATACTATGTATACATACTAAGTCCCTAATGGAGACATGCAAATTTTTTTATTCTTAGAATTTATAAAATTATACAAAATTAACACATCAATATCAATCATTATTAAATCGTTAAATTAGCGACAACAAACAATCCATCCAATTAACCTAAATATATCAAAAATAAATTGTTCATGGTTCCTTATCTGTTCATAAACTTTCATCACAATTGGTTCAGCCATTCCGAAGATCATAGATGCCAACTCTGCGGATTATTCCGTAGATCTACGGAATTTTTTCATCGTCTACGGAAGTACGAAATTGACACGGAACTTAGCCGACAACCGAATATCGAAAAATTTAATAATCGGTTCCTCTGCGGGGTAAACTGACATTTAAATTGGACAGATAAGAAAGGCAGATATTCTTTTCTTCAATACTTACAAGGTGTATTTATTTGAATTTTGGATGAATTTTTTTTCACAATGACATTAGTATAATTATCCACAAATATGTAAGTGTTATATATTTTATTTGTTTTGAATAAAAATAATTTAATTAAAAGAAAACAATTAATTTTTAATCAAACTTTTATGGTTCTTTTTTCTTATATGTGCAGATTGATTCGATGTTATACTACAATTGAACTTACAACAAGAATTTTACATGACAGAAATAATTTCTCCAAAAAAATTGATCTTTTCTATGACAAAAACAAAAAATTTCGATCCTCTTAAGGGAAAAGGAAATTGTTTTAATATAAAAAGGACAGACAGACAGACAAAAATTTTAAAAATATTGTTGCGCGCCACTATTAATGTCTTGTACATGGCAACACTAGTTACACTAGCGCCCTCTAGTGTCGAGTAGTAGAACTAGGAGAGTCGAGATCCTTCCAGAAATTTCGGGACCGATATGTACTCGAACATTCTAGAGGTCGCTACAGTAGAAGGTTCTGGAAACTATCTGAGGCCCTATATAAGGCCGGTATAGACCACAACCGGGGCAGTATTGAATTGGCGATACAAGAGAATACTTCGAAGCGAAATAACGGCGAACTGTGTTTTATTATTAGTGTGATTTTAGATTGTAATTAGTGTTGTGTGATTAAAGTGTCAATTTTGGTAATTCAATCGGCAGTTTTTAATTGTCTCGAACCCCAAGCTCGTAACAATATTTATGTTTTAGTAACTTGCAAATAACCTCTTTAATAGAAGCAAGTTATTTCAATATTACAGACTTTAATTTTATTTTTATGTATACTTACCTAATATACGAGCAATAAATACTTACTTACTTATCTTCACGCACAATCCCTGACGGGGTAGCCAGAGAGAACAGATCGCCAAGTGTCACGATCCTTACATACCTCTTTCGCTTCTTTCAGATTCATTATCTTCTTCATACATGCACGTCTAGGTATCCGAGTACTCTTGACCCTCCCCTCTTCGAGCAATTTGCTCACATGGTCTTCGAAAGTTAGTCTCGGTCTACCTCTACACCTTTTAATATTAACTTTCGCGCTATATATTTTCTTCACCATTCGGTCTTCACTCATTCGCTCAACGTGCCCAAACCATCGAAGCACTCCCTTATCAATTTTTGTGATAAGGTCATCTTTCAAACCTGCCATATTGCGAATCTCTTCGTTTCGCTTTCGGTCGGCCATGGTAACGCCGCACATTTTACGAAGAGATCGCATCTCCACTGCATTCAACTTGCTTTTATGCTTCTTCTGGCATACCCAGGTTTCGCTGCCATATAACAAAGTCGGTACCAATACTGCGTTATGTATTGCAAGGCGTGCACTCTTCACTACGCCTTGCCTTTTGACTAACGCAGTCAGGGCACCATTGACTTTGTTCCCGGCAGCGACACGCCTGTCCACATCTAAATCACATCTTCCATCCCGGCTAAAAGCACTCCCCAAGTATACAATTTCATTTACCTGTTCTAGACTTTCCTGATTTAAATTTATTCAGGAAAATTAAATCAGGAAAATCAGCAATAAATACTTATTGCATGATTGTCATTGCGATATTTGAAAACGTCAGACTTTGTTTAAATTTCATTTTAATTGGTTTTATTAATTCCAGTTTATAAAAAGTACTCTGTGTTTATTAATAAATACGACTTCAAAAGACTAATTTTGTACCGATAATGGTAAGTTATTATTTGGTAAATTAATTTTCAAAGTTATTGAGAGGAATCTCTTTTTTGACTTTTTCCAATATAATAGAAATCATTTCGATAATTGTTGTTGACCACTGAGCATTCTTATTTATTCGTAATCGTGAGATGGCGGTGGTATAGGAGAATCCACTATCATATCCTATTTTATTCCATGGGTATAGTAAATCGTAAGAGTCGACTATGGGAAATGCCATACAAATTTCATAGACAAATCTCATCGGTGGTATCACCATGGAGCAGTGTAAGGAAGATGTAAAATACCCAGACAAGCAACGGGGACCACCTTCAAAGGCGCGAGTCATCTGACACTGCAATTGGTAATGTCCGACCGAAGCTTCGGCTTCGGCTTTGGTTTTGGCTTTGGCCACCTTCAGCCAAAAACTAACTTCGGCGAAACCTTCGGCTTCGACCAAAGTGGGCCGAAGTTTTGGCCGAAAGAGTAAGTTTCTAGCAAGCCGAAATTGAACAAACTGTTACGCGATGGACGCGACGCAATTTTTATCACCTCTAGATCAACTCCTAAAGATTATTAAAATTATCCTTTTATATTATACAGTCATTATAAACCTTTAATTTAAAAGTTTTAAAATTATTTTAGTTATTAATTTTAGCCAATCTTGGACTAAATTTCTTAGGGTTTTAAAGCCTTTTGATTCGGCATCGGCCAACGTTTGTGGCGATAGCCGATTAATCGGCTTCTTTTTCGGCTTCGGTCGGAAATCGATCTTCGATCGAACACTAGCAATTGGCAATTCGCTGGACAAGCGTGTGAATTACGGCAAATTCTGTCTACAATGGGAGAGGCTCTTGTCCAGCAGCGGTCTGTTATCTATTTTGAGCAAATTTTGAACGATACCAAATACTACTTTCCGATCACTGGTCATCGCCATCTTCTTGAATAAAATTTCCCGAATTAGTTCAGGGCAAAACAAAGAGGACACTGTCAGCAATATTAGTATAGCAGAAGCTTTTTTCGCCAATTCCTAGGTTCGTCTTCCTTGATAAGCACAACCAAATCTTGAGCTCCTTTGGACTTAAGAAATAGGTACTTATATTAAAATATTAAGCGCGGTCTTACACAAATTATATTTTTTATACATTTGCTTAATAGCTATAAATATATTAAAGTGGCATATTAACTTATTGTTGGAATTAACACAAATAAATGCGTTATGCAAAATTATTTATCCGTTTTCAGACTTACGATTACTTCGATAAATACACATTTTTGTGCGAAATGTACGACGAGGAAGCAGATAAAGTAAAAGAATTAATATTAAATTTCTTTCCTTTTGACAATTCTGTACAATTAATTGATTCAAAGAAAGGCAAAAATTTACTAAGACGTGTCCATCTTCCTCCATTGAAACTAGAAATGCTTCAAATTGGAAATATTGTGAATATTTTCTCTAAGTTATTGCATATTGTGGATTGCGCGCCAGCTACCAGGGGTATTTTATTTAATAACGTTCAAAGGTAAACATCAATGGCGAAATATAATAATTTAAAGCCATAATATACTATGGTACTAACGTGATACCTTTACAGCACATTTGCTATGATAAAACCTGTACCTCCTAGTGAACATGGAAAAATTATAACATTTATCATGAAGAAAGGTTTTCGTATTGTTCGTATGAGGAATGGTAAAATAAGCAAAGATTTTGCTTTAGAACTTTATAATCACCTCAGCGGTAGCAACATGATGCCGTAAGTATTTGTAATAAATAGGCCGTTTGTTTCCAAAGTTATAACGATTTTTAAAAAAAAATCAAGTTACGTTTTTGCTAATACGCTTGATAGTACCTATTGTGCGTTAAGAAAAAAGTTTAACGTTCTTTTTGGCCGGTTTCGACAACAGCGAAGATAAGTTTATATAACCAAAAGATATCGTCAGTTTAAGGTTTATTAACAACAACCTCCAAAAATGTCTCACGGCCGGGCACAGGCCTTCTCGTTTCTGAGAGTGTTGGAACTTGAAACAGTCCGACATGTTTGTTTTTAACGGTACGATTTCTTCCGGGTTAATAGTACAAATGGGCGTACCTCGTGGCCCAATTCTCGGCCCTTTCTGTTTCTTGTCTGTATTTATGACTTATCCTACATATTAGAGGATAACCATGATATACATTATACACTGCCGGATTAAGCATGCGCGGGACCCGTAGCAAATTTTATCGGAGGACCCTTAATCTGCTAAGGGTTCTTAAATATAAAATGGTAAAAACCAATTCAATACTCAATACGTTTATTTGTCATCTATAAGTTACAATTTTGTTGGTGTTTCATAGTAGAACTGAAAGAAACTGACGATACTACACAAATAATTGTAAATCTTTTTAATACATATTTCAAAGTTTATATTATTTTATTGCTAAGTATATTATATTTTTAGGAATAGCTAATGTTATATTTTGTCAATGGTGTACTTTAAATTATGTGTATATTTTATATTTATTTATCTGTTTCTGTTATTACTTTTTAAACTTCTTTTCTAGATTTCATGTCAAAATTTGGAAATCTACTATCCGTATCAATTTCTCTAAGCAACTCACATTCTATATTTATCAGAGAGATAATTCAGGCGTTCTTGACTTGAGTGTTCCTTAATTTATTTTTTATACGGTTCAATGTTGAAAATGAACGTTAACCACTGCAGTTATAGATCATGAGAGACAATAAATTAGCAAAGCATTTTCTAAATTGGGGAAACATGATTCTAATGAATTATCCATTAAGCATTTATAATATTTAATTTTCAGATTCAATTTTCGTACTGTCAATCGCATTAACCACACATAAGTTTTAAGCTGCTCGTCAAACTCCACTAATTCACCGTCTATTCTGTCTTCCGAACTATTTGCATAAACACTGACTATAATTGGAGTTTCTTTCAAAATCTATTCTGTTGTAATAGATTTTAACTGTCCAAATATTCCAAAAAACACTAGTTACATTTTGTTAGGCTTTTATGCGTTTATCTAAAGCACCAATAATGACGACAAACACCTCAATTTCAAATTGTTTACTAGGTGTTTCTTTTTTAACAAATTCCTCAATTAGTACCGCGAAAATGGCCGAACTTAGTGTTTCGCCTGCGTCGTCTTGAATGCTGATATTAATGAAAACCTGTCAGATCTTTGACTTTTGCTTCAATATCTGAAAATGTGGATCGCATTGTTGGGACAAATCCATAAAATGATTAATAAAGGTTGAATCCCGTATCCATTCCACATAATTGTCCTTTCCGTTGCTATGCATTGTTTGCTTGATGCAATTAATTTAATAAATTCCTCGCATGATGTTTTAGAGAAATATGATGTGTCTTTTTCCTTTATGGGCATAAGTTTGTCGTATGGGTCCTCAAAAACTGCTGGCGGCAGTAAATTCTACAGTTTGGTCGTGCGAAGCAGAAAATTCCGCGTGAATGGCACAGTAGTGGATTACCAGCCATCGAGATGATAAGGATAGAATTTCATGTTCTGTCGCAGAGTACTTTGGTGGAATTCAGCAGCTAAAATAAAACCGAACAATTACTCCGAGCACTCCCCGTGGTATATGCGGTAGAAGATGCATAGAGAAGCAACGTCCCCTCGCAAGGCCAGTGGATCAAGGCAATCGAAAGGAACTTCATTGTCGACAATTTAGTCTACTTTCCATTAATTACGGTCAAATGGAAGAAGCTGATACTGGGGTGCCCCGAACCAGGGATGAGAATTGTGAGTCAGGTAGACAATAAGACCACCAGCTGGGTGATCTCGACGAAAACTGTATTGACGGTCACTAATCAGCTGGTGCTCTTCAAGGTACCACATGAGCTGGTAGTTAATAATGGATTCCATTATTTCGGTGAACAAGAAGGTGAAAGCGATAGACCTGTCGTTGGACGGGTGCGAACGGTCACCGTTTTTAGGGGTCGCGTGCACTAAGGTTGTCTTTCGTGAGCCTGGAACGACGCTTTAAAAGTCAGAGAACCGTAAAAGACACGTAAGAACCGGTGCCAAATCAGGAGCACACGTCTTCAACACAATTGGGGAGATTCCATCAGGCCCACTCGACTTGTTGACGTCTAGGTACAAGAGTGCTTTGCGCACCGACCGCTGTATAAACAGCACATCCGGCATGGAGCGCTCACACCGCGGGATAGTCGGCGATATGTTCCCCCGCTATCGAAAGTCGAGTTGGACGCAAAAAAAAGAACCTAAAAGATCGGTTTTCTCCTTTTCGGCGTGAGCCAGTGAGTCATTCTCCCTTCGCAAAGATAGTAATGATGGCTTACAGAAATTTCCTTTGGCAGCCTTAGCGAAGGATCAGAACGTACGAGTTCTCAAAGGAAGGCGAACTAGTTTCTCGCCAATTCAGCCTACTATTTGATCCTTTGTCTTAGACCATATCCCAAGGCAAAGTCGTTTCATGTTTTTATGACATCAAGTAAGTAATATATCACGTCTAAATAAATTTCACTCAAAAAATACACTTCGGCGGTGATGGATGGGTTTGGATACGCGGGGCCCCCTTTTCCGCGGGGTCCGTAGCAATTGCTACTCTTGCTACGTGGTTAATCCGGCACTGACGATATAGAATTATTTGCTGATGATACTTCATTAATTTTCAAACTAAAACGACAATTACTGATATATGACGAAGGAAATAATGCTATATCTAAATTAGTAAATTTGATTTAACGTTAATAATCTGCATTTACGAGTATATTCCATTGAAATTAAATGTACGAAAATTCATAACTCCAAATGTCGAACATCAAAATCGGTGTATTTTAAATGGGGAGGAATTGAGTTTTGTCGATATCATCATTTTTCTTGTTTCTTCTTTAAATTAGAGGTGAAGCTTCAATGAGGCCCCCATATATCAAAACTGATAAGCAGACTTAGTTCTGCAGCGTATGCTGTTAATAATAATAATATAATAAATATATAATAGGGGAAGAAACTGGAATATTGGCGTATCGAGCTCGGATGCATCGCTTTTTCGCAGAGCTGGAGCTATCGGTTCATGTAACGGAGCTTAACCTGGCAGACCGAGTTCGGTATATCCAGCGCTCCAACATATTTGGTGACGCCGAACTCGAACAACTACGACGTGAAGCTGTTCCCTCATCGGCTGAAAATGCGGCGCCACTAATTGCAGAGCAACCTGTGGATGCTGTCGTGGATATTCCAGTTGTGGTTGATTCAGACGTTGATGAACTAGTCTCCCACAAAGTAGAGCTAATGAGGAGCATATTGGAAGAGGCTATTTTGGAAACACGCACTACGCCTCTCGAAAATCGACCGCTACTTCCTCGCATACCCTTAAGCAGGCGGAATCGGGCTGTCTTGAGGGCTCTCAACCCAATGCCGGTGACCTATTTGGAAGCCAGCCGGGACCTTTGCGAGACTCACTCAATTCTTTTTGGCGCCACACTGGCAGTTTGCCGTATTATTGGCGCCAAACTTCCCACGGCTGGACACGTTACTAGATAAAGTAGTGCCATCCCAGCCTGGGAAAAATGAATTGAGGACCGTATCGCAAAGGCAAGAGCCCCAATCGGCAGACTGACAAGCTTCAGATCGGGTAATAATAGACCGAGAATTGTGCGCACCGTCAGGATGGCGTTTGCTGGGACACATATAAGTTTGTCCCAGACGGATATTACGCAAAAGCTGACGGAGCGCACATACGACTGAAGCAGAGAATCGCTGCTTGGGGATTCGATATACCGAGTCGTTGACACGGCTCAACAAGAATCGTCTCTTCCAGAGTGATCAGAAGAGGCTTTATAAATCATTGGAGTGATCACTGGTACGTGGAACGGGCTAAGCACCGAATCAGGCCGACAGTGTTGCATTCTGGCATGGCCTGTGGTCAGAGCCCGTAAGCCACAGCAAGGGCCCTTGGACGGAAGTTGTGGCGAGTCAGTAGTCGGTTCGGTGGTCGTGGAACCAAGGAACAACTCCTCATTGACGCGGTCATTGGCAAGGTGGTTAAGCGCAACCGTCGGAACCTCTCCGTCGCCTGCATAGACTTCAAAAAGGCATTCAACTCGGTAACTCATACATGGCTGAAGAGGGTCCTCGAGCTGTACAAGGTTGACTGTACAGTTAGAGACTTCCTCGAGCAGTGTATAGGGCAGTGGAGTATAATCCTTTGTCATCTAGGTGAGTGGATGACGGATGTGGAATGCCACATAAGGATTAGAAGGGGTATCTATCTTCCAGGGCGATTGTTTGAGTCCAATCTGGTTTTGCCTCTCTCTGAACTCTCTTACTTCCTTACTAAAGGATTCCGGGAGGGGATTTCAGCTTCGAAAAGGAGATACAAAAGTGACCCACCTTTTCTATATGGATGATCTCAAGTTATTCGCCTCCGTTCGCTCCCATCTTATAGAATCGCTAAACATTACTTGTGATTTTAGTAATTCTATTAGAATGGAACTGGGGACGGATAAGTGTGCAGTCCTCCATGTTGAAAGGGGAAGGGTTGCTAAATCTGAGGGCATAGACTTATCTATGGCCATCAACTTAAGGACCCTTTCCGAGGCTGCAACATACCGATACCTGGGTATGTCACAGAATATCGGTATCGATGAGGCGGGTATGGACAGTTAACAGTTAGTTTGCGATGTGTTTTATGCGCGCTTGCCTAAAGGGCTTAACAGCCTTTTGTCCGGTGTGAATAAGACACACGCATATAATGGTTGGGTCATGCCT